GGTGACAGTATTGCTTACTGATTTCACTGTCAACACTATTGCTTGCTGTTTTCACTGTTGACACTATTGCTTACTGATTTCATTGTCAACACTATTGCTTGCTGTTTTCACTGTTGACACTATTGCTAGCTGATTTCATTGTCAACACTATTGCTTGCTGTTTTCACTGTTGATACAATTGCTTGTTGATTTCACTGTCATCACTATTGCTTACCAGAAAATGGTGCACACATGAATTTGATAGTCATGCTTGCTGTTTTTTACTACAATCATTGACCTATTACAACTCTTACTCTTCCAGACAAGTCCATTGAAGATTTCCATTTTGACAAGTAAAGCATCTTCACTATGAGCTGCATAAATGGATATAAGTTATTATATTATAATATAACATATGTGGAGCAGACCAACATATGACCCTGATCATCAGAATGGTATTGGAAGTGATCCAATAGCCTTGAACAGAGTAAGGGCCAACTGAAATAAAAACTTAAAATAGTGTCACAGATAATCCAGAATATTCACATTTCTGTAAAATCGAAAATAAACTTGAAGCAGTACCTAAAGAAGAAGGGAAATGTCATATTGTGTTAGTGACAATAGAGTATCAAAGATGAAAACTATTTACAACTAATGATTGGAAATGCTCTGTTAATGGCTTTTATATCCTCATTTCGTTATATTACATGCACTAGTCCTGTGTCTATGACCTTTTAACTTCTATTTGAAATAAATACTAATGTGCAACTAGTGATAAGGCATAATAATGAACTTATAATTTGTGGCAAAATTTCAGCAGAAACAGAATATGGTGTGTTGCCGTGATGTTTAACATTAGACCAATGAAATACAATTCAATGATATGAAAATATTTATAGTTTATTAACAACAGATAAAGCTCCATAATGTAATGCATGTAGACTTTTGGACTTGCAGACCAGAATTCAATCAATATTTTAATCAATTGTTTACAACACAATGAAAAATGTTTGAAAGAGTATATTATATATTGTACTTTTTTATATAAATTGTTTTTAATATGCCCACATGAAATTGCTCTTAAACACTCTACAAGGCAAAAAATTCTTGACTGACTTTGACGAAACTTGGTTTTATTATACATACGCGCTGAAGGTTGAATATTTGCCTTCTAGAGTTTCACAAGCTGAAAATTGAATTTCGTTTTCAAGAACAAGGGCAATAACTCAATATTATTCAGTATCGCCCTAAAGAGTTCAAAAGAAGTGTATGGCTGAAGGTTGAATATTTCATACTGGTGATTGTTACTGTACTGCTAAATATGTTTATTTAAAATCAAAGCTGTCAGTGGGCGTATATTACCTTGCCTGGCAAGATATCTTATTTGAATAAATTTAATAAATAATACAAATATTTGTTTGTTTTTAACCCCAGCATAGAAAAATGAAATGAAATGAATGGACTTTTACTTCCTACTTTTATGCAACCAAGCATAGAAAAATCACCATTAGCATGTGGGTGAACTGATTTTTTTAAGGTCTTATGTTGAAAAGTCATATGTTGATTGATTTTGACATAACTTGGCATGAGTGTTTGTCATCACCCTAATGAAAATCAGAAAAATATTGCCCCTTCTTGGAAACTCATTCAAATTTTAGCTTGTAAACAGGCTCAATTTTTGAAGAAACTTAGTGACATTGTTTGTTATCACCCATCATAAGTGTCTAAGCATGATGCAATATCAAGTAGACTATTTATGGATCAATTTAACAAGTTGTCTAGGCAGATACAAAGCAGTTGATGGTAAGTTACAGATACTTTCTTCATTGCAGGTATGATTTTAAAAAGAATTAATGTTATCTTCATATTCAAGGCTATTATTTGTTATTTGCATCATCATAATAGCTGTTTTCTTTATCATCATAGTATTAACCATTATATGTTATCTTCATCATCATAACCATTATCTGTTATCTTCATCATCATCACTATTACTTGCTGATTTCAATTTTGAATATGGAGTTTTATTTTCAGTTTTTGTACTTGAAACAATAATCAGTTATCTGTAAGTTTGAAAATCTTCACATTATTTTTTTTTTATTTTTATATGCCTACATGAAATGTCAGTCAGTTCCTCTGTTCGTTCGTCTACGATTGCTGTTAAGTCTAAAACACTCTAAAAGACACAATTCTTGATGGATTTAGATGAAACTTGTTGAAGTGTGTATCAAAATCAAAAAATATTTTATATGAGTTTTTGCCCTTGTTCTTGAAAACAGTACAATGGTTAGCTCATAAATAATTCTTGATGAAACTGAAATTGTTAAGTACCCTATTGAAAATAAGAAAAAATATCGAAAAATATTTAATATGAGTTATCGTCCACTCTAGAAGGCACAATTCTTGCAGGATATTTACAAAACTTCCTAATATTGTTCAGTATCACCCCAAAAAGTTTAAAAGAAGTGTATGACTGAATAATTTACACTGGTGATTGCTATTGTACTGTGGGTGCATATTACCTTGTTTGAAAAGCTATCTTTGAATTTTGATACAAAAATTAACAGAGTAAGATCTGTTATATTGTTTGATTTACAGATGTGTCAGATTTGAATGAGTACAAGATAAGATGGGAAGAAAAATCTTGTGAACCTGAACTTCCCTTTGAAGGAATTCCATTTATAATCCTTGGTTCACAAACTCGCAGCTGTCATCAAGGACCTCAGCGTAATAAAACTAAACAGGTAATTTGTACAATCATGCTTTTATTTTCTTTTTTCTTTAGTACAAATTCATCAGAACTTCCATTTACTTTGTGAATGTCTGAAGGTTGAATATTTCATACTGGTAATTGTTACTGTACTGCTAAATATTTTTATTTAAAATTAAAGCTGCCAGTGGGCGTATATTAACTTGCCTGGCAAGCTATCTTTTACTTTTATATAGGAATCTACACAAGACCATGAGTATTTGAAATCTAGAAAGCAGAATCGAGCTCAAAAAAGTTGGGGTGCAAAGCTAGTTTGAGTATACGGAGTGTTTTGTTATTTCCAGAATACAAGGTTTGAAGTTGAATTTGTTCAAAAAAACGATACATTATTATTTAGATTTGACTATTTATTTGGATTTATAATCTTAAAAACCAAGAGGCTCCACAAGAGCTTCAATCCGAACTATTAGATCTGTATCTCAAATAGTGTTAAACAGACCTTGGAGTCTTTGGGAGAAGTTTCCAGCATTAATATCTTGATATAGATATATGGCACAGTTTTGAAAATAAGCTTGCTTTTCTTTGAAAATCTGCAACTGTCAGATATTTGGAAAATTTCTGCCCTTTTCTCCTCTCAAGGTTCTGAACATGATTGAAAATTAAGAACTGGGTGATTTGAGGTGGAATGACTCATTTGCATTTTTTTAGGTGGATTTTAATTCGGCTAATTCAAAGAAAAAAAAAAGAGATGAGCTTGTTAATTCATTTTCTCCTACCACAAAGAGAAGTCTGAAAGTATATGTCAAATATCCAGAAATTGGTGAACATACTGGTCATCTTAAGGATGAAGTAAGTATTTCTTCATAGTATTTATTATAATTCCCTAAAAAAATCGAAATGCTTGTTTCTTCGACCTTTCAATAAACCCAATTCATTAAAAGAACTGTGAAACATGCTTTTTGTTTGTGTGTTGGTTGGACTTACTCTCTCTGGATGATGGCTAAGATTTCTGTTTCTTCAATTTATCTTGTTTATGATATTTAAAATCCTGCATCCCAAGGGATTTAATAACTAAATAATAATGAAATAAAGCATGTTTAGAATTTCATCAACCAGTGAGCCAGACTAGGAAAATTTTTGCATGTGTCAATCAACCTTGGTCTCTCTCCGATACCTATGTAAGTTGAAGAAAGTTATATCTCGTTCATTTCATTTGGTTCTCAGAATCACTCATTTTTGCCATTAAAAATGTTATAATTAAAGTCAATAATAGTGGTGATAATTACACCCCGATTTAAATACCTGCAATTTTATATGTATTCTCTGAAATCTTCTGGATTTTATATATGATATTCCCGGGATTTTATTTGGAAGGGATTTTATTAGATATAATATCCCGCCAAAACAATGATTTATAACATGACTTTCCATTTCCCTAGTTGGCAACATATGCAATGGGACCAGATAGAGTTGTAATAGATAAAATACATCATTTAGTTGGCAATGTAATACATAGAGTTCCAGATATAAAACTGCATTTGCAATTGATGGTAAAAGATCAATTTCCACAGATATCTCCAATGGACAGACGGTTTATTAGCTATATTATGTTGTGCTTACAGGCAATAATTTGTTATGTTTTTTATTTTGTGGATCAATGTCATTGTGAAGATGATCCCTAAAGATTTTTGTGATGATCTGATACTTTTCTCTGAAATATCATGTTTGACTTAGCATATTCACTCCATTAGCTATATAGTTCTTTATGGATTCTTTTGATTTTTATATTCCCACACGTAGTCTATGTGCAGGAATCGAGACATGTGATAAAATCCGCCCATGATGCGATACTATAAAGTATATGAATTCCTTTATCAATATTTATCGTGATACCGGTATATTGCCCAGCCCTACTACTATATGTGTTAAAGTTAATCATGTCCAGGAAGTGATGAACAAGCAAAATTGGTGTTGTACATTTTCTTGTATCAGATTTTATTGTAGCTCAAGTAAGTTGCAGAACAGTTAAACCCTTTTGATATTGCAGATTTTCTTCAAATGATAAGAAAACCTGCTTAGAAATGTTGAAAAATGGAAAGAGAATCATCCAGAAGATGAATTTTTTATCGTCCCGTGTAAGTTATTGTTTTTCATTACAGATGGTTACGGATCTGAGAAAAAGTTTAAGTTTACTTTTTAGTTTCTTATTTTTAGAATCCTGGATGCTGTTTCAATAATGTATATGTCTCAGTAACACACCTTTGTATGTGAATGTGGTGTTGGCGTTTTGATCTTTCTGTCATGCAATCTATTCCATTCATAATCTTAGGTTTGGGAGCACTGTTATGGGTGTTCTGCTCATCTCCTTGATTTTTGCAGCGTTTTGATTCACATGCAGGCGTCTTTGTCTGGCGAAGGATGATAGTGGTGGGAGATGGTGCGGCGGGTGTATGTGTGGTGCAGGCTAGCATCTGTAGCTCGCTGGGATTGGTGATGAATGGGCAGCATTGGCGGCGCTAGTGGATGGTGGTGCGCTGCAGTGAAGTTGGTGGGCGGTAGAAGCCACAACATTTTATGTGTGATTTTGACTGGAGGGAAATTAATGCTTTGGAGAGTGTTTTTGAAGGTTTGAGTTCTTTTCAATTCAGATATGGGGCATAAAATGGTCATGTATAAATTATATTATAACACAACT